GTGCCGCTCGCTTGTATTCGATGTGGTACAAGTGCAATATAAGTGTCATTCGGATCTGCTTCAAGAGTGTTTCACACGTATTGCACATGCTGTTCACGTGCAGTTCAAGTGTAGTTCAGGTGTAATTCCAGCGCGGTCCAGGCGTAGCCTATGTAATTCAAGCGTCGTTTGGATTTAATTCAAGCTTGATTCATGCGTATTTCAAGTATAGGTCAGGTGTGCCTCAAACGTAGTCCTGTTGTGGCACAAGCGCGGCCCCCGTGTAGTCAGTGCAATTCACGTGTAGTTCAAGTCCGGTCCAGGAGTAATTCATGTGTAGTTTTGAAGTGTAGTGCAAATCTCCTTCAAGTGTAGATTCGATGCAGTTCAGGTGTAGTGCAGGCGTATCAAGTCTGGTGCGGGCGAGGCCAGTTTAGTGCAACTACGGGTTCACTGCAGTTCAAGTGTAGGGCATGTGTAGCGCAGGTGTAGTTCGAATGCGACTCCGGTGACATCATTGCTTTTCCCTTCAAATTCAAAGATCGCTCATGTGCAGCTCAAGTCTAGTGCAGGTGCAGTTCAAGTGTAATACAAATGTAGTCCAGGTGTAGTGCAGGTGTTGTTCAAGTGCAGGTGCGCTGTAGTTGAAGTGTGGCTCGGTTGTGTTCCATGTGGAAGTGTAGTTCAGGTGCGCTCCAGGTGTAGTTGGAATATAGCTCAGGCGTGGCTCAAGCTTTCTCCAATGCAGTCAGGCGCACACGTTCTAGTTCGAGTGTGGTTCCAGCGTAGTTCAAGCGTGTTCCAGGCATGGTTTAAGTGCAATGCACGCGCTGCGCAAGTGTAGCTCAAACGTAGCGCAAGTGAGTGTACTTCAAGGACAGTTTGACTGCAACGCGTAATGAGACGCACCGCAGCACCGCGCGACGCACGCGGGCAAGCAGCGAATTCCGAGTTGGGCAACGTTGCCTCGCATCCCCGCGCGCACCTGCACTGCGCGGCACAGCGCGGCGCCGCGAGGAACGACGCGCGCCATGTTAGAACGTCATCTACGTCACATGTGTGAGCACGAGTTGGTCATGGCACGCGCGCGCGCTCATCACTTGACAATGCGACGCTGCTCCGCAATGGCGCCGCGTCGCGCTCTCGCGCGCAAGCGCGCCCAGCGGGGCGCCCAACTGACCATCTGAATGGAAACCGCCTCAAAGTTGCCCGCGCGCTCGTGGCACATTGGCCGCGCGCGCGCCCCTCATTCAGTTGCGGGTAAGCTTCGGCCGCCTAACAATCCCATCGCAGCGCGGCATGTGGCGCCACGCGGCGTGGATAGATAAACAAGATCGCAGATGGCATGCGCAGCGGCAAATGTTGCGTGAAGGCGCAGGCTTTTTCCAAATGCTTCGGTGGTAGAACTGCAATTTTTGGCAGAACCCTATTACTATGACGGAAACATGTGCGTGCGTCCGTTCTGTATGATGGATACAATGGTGCGCGCTGTTTCTCTACGAATAAAATAGCGCGTGCCGTAGTTCCGTGCCTGGCCACTTGCGCTGGTCCGTCTTGCTGGCCCGGATCGCGATGACCACCTGGTCTGCCCCATGCCGGCTCCTGCGTGGCTCGCCACCTGTCTTCGGCGTGACGTCCACGCCTCGCCGGCCCTCGCAGCCCGCGCAGCCGCCCTGGTCGCTGGATGCTCGTCGGCATGCCCTTCGCGGCGCCCCTCCGAAATTCTGCCCCCCCCCCCCCCCCCCCCCCTAACTCTTAGCCCCCGGACCGGGTCCCCAAGGCCGATCCCGAGCTCGGTCTCAGGAAGGCGCGCCGCCGACGTTCGCTGCCTCATGGGCGCGGCGCGGGCGACGCCCTGGCACGCGACTCTCTCGGTCGCGCAGCTGCCCCCACGATCGACGGCAACCGGGCTTCGGACGAAGGCGGCCGGGTGCCGCTCGGCGCGCGCGGGGGCTTCTGGCGGACGCCGGCGAACCCGGGCCCTGGCGGGGCGCTGGTCGGCGGCCGCAGGCGGGGGGGGGCGGCGGGGGCGGGGGCCTCTCGGCTTCCACAGCGGGCGGCGCCACTCCTGTAGGCTGCCCGCCCCCTCCCTCGAACTCCCTGCACCGCGTCGTCTGGCCTCTGCGCGGCAGGCCCGTCCCGACCTCGCCTGTCCCCCCATCGCCCGCGGCGCCCGCGGCCTCGATGAGTTCCGCCGGGAACTCGCGGGGCCTCGCGCCGCTCGAGGCCGCCGCGGCCCCCCCCGCCGCTTCGTCGGACTGGCCGTCTGCGCGCAAGGCCATGTCGAGATGGGAATGGCGCTGAGATCTCCTCGGCGCCGCGCCCCGCCCTGCTCGCGCGCGGGGCCTCGCCCGCCGCGCCAAATGGCGCCTGCTCCTGTCCCGAGCCGTCGCCGCCGCCGACATCCGCCTCGGGGCGTCGCCCTGGTAGCTCGCGCCGCCGCCGAAATCCGGCGGGCGCGTCGCCGCCCCCGTTCTCCGACATGTCGCCGGGGGCCGAGCGACAATGAACTCGCCAATCAGCTCGGATCGAGGAGAAAGGACAACGCCGTCCTGGATGGAGAAGGCGACGTTCAGGCCGACCGCCTCGACGTCCGCCCCAGGGCTGCCCCCCGCAGGGGCCCGCGATGCGCGCGGGGAAGCCAACGGGCCCATCCGCGGGGTCTCGCGCGCGCGGCATCCGTGCCGCGTCCGAGGCCACCCTGGCTATGAGGGGCCACCCTTGCGGGCGGCCGCTGGCTCGCGCCCATGCGCCCGCTGCCGCGGGGCTGGGCGCGCGCCCTGCCCTTCCCCTCGGACTGTGGCGTCGTCGAGGGGCTGCGCCGCGACGCTGCCCGGTCCGCCGCGCGCGCTGCGCGTCGAAGGAACCCGTCCATCTCCATGGTCTTCTCGCGGAAGCAGCGAGTCCTCTCGCGCTTCCGCCCAGGCGCCCGGGCCCGCGAGCTCGGGCACGGAAGACGCGCGCGCCATCCAGCTCGGGCGCGCGGCGCGCGTCTGAGACCGCGGCGCCCTCGACCAGCGTCGCGGCGGGCTCTGCCTGGCGGGGCCCCCGCGCCCGCCTGCGGATAGTGCCTGGGTGCCGCGCACGGTGGCGAACGCGACGCGATCCGCCGCGCAGACGTCCGCGCTCGGCCCTGAGTCGGTCTCGGAGCAGGGCGTCGTCAGCGCCGCTTGGCGCGGCGGCCAAGCGCTTGAGGGGCCCGCCGACGCCCCGGGACGTCCGCGCGCAGCGTGCCCTGCTACCCGCCCTGGCTCTCCAGCCTGGCGTGAGCTTGGCGAAGTCCGCCACGTCGATCTGGGCGCGGTAGTCAACTGCGCAGGATGAGCACACATGCGCGATGTTCTTCTTGCTCTCGGGAAAGATGCGAAGGAATGTCCGTGCGCGGATGTGCCGCGCCCGCGCCGTCTTCGTCTCGCGTAGCCTCGAAGTCCGCCATGCGGCGACGGCGCGAGCTGTCCTTCGACTCCTTGAAGCGGGGAACGGAACCGTGCCCAGTGATACGGCTGCCTCTGAGCGGCCCATGCTGGAGACGAGCCGCGGAGCCACCCGACGCGATGATCCGGTCCTTCGGCATCACCCCCCCTGCAGCACCTCCTCCTCCACCTCTTCTGGGACGCACCTAGTTTTTGTGACGCAGTGTTCGTCCGCTGCCAGCTCCTCATCGGTACCTCTCCAGACAAGGGCAGCTGATGGTTCCCCATCGAGGGCGACTCGCATGTCGCGCCCAGCCTTGCGCCCTTGGCGAAGCCCCGCGCCGCAGTCACAGTGAAGGCGCAATGGTTCCAGGTCGTGCGTAGGAGCCAAGATGCATCGCCTATTGTCGAACCCGGTATGGCTATCGCTCCATCACCCCCGAGACCCATGGCCATCCAGTGTAGCTTGATCCACTCGGAGCCGAAGAGGTAGCAACGCCCCGATAGCATGCCCGATTCGCTCACCTTGGCCTCGACCCGAGAGCTGATCACAGCCATGGCTTTCGCCTGTAGCTCACTCGCTCTCTCCGGGGCTGACTCCTGCCGCGGTGCGTCCTCATGTTGAACGGTCCGACCTCCGCCTGACGGGGGCTCCTCGGGCGATGGCGGAAGGGATGCCGCGCTCGCGCCTGCTGCCCTGGTTGCCGGGCCTGGGCGGGCTCCGGCTGCGGGGCCTTCTTCTCCTCTGCCAAGCTCCTCGGCGGCACTCTTTGGGCGCTGTCCGAGTAGTGGCGCCTGTGCTCTATCAGGTACTTGTAGTTCTGGCCAAAGATCGGCGCCGCGTTCGGCGCAGCTGCTGACCCACTGAACCCCTTCTGGGCGCTCGCCCGAGTCGGCCATGGCTGGTGGTGAGCTTGGGGGGCGTCCAAAGCACGGGTCGCTGCCTCATCATCGGGCCCCGCGAGCTCCGCGTCTGGACCCACTGCGCCTGAAGGCGTCTCCTCACCCGTCGCGGCGCACCTGGACGGGTCAGCCTGACTCGCCCACGCAGCTGCTTCGTTGTCGTCATCTTCTGGCCGCCGTCATGGGGCCTGGCCGCTGTCGGGTCCTCGATACGTGGCCATCGCAGAGAGACCCGCATACAACCCCACGCCCAACGATGCGTCCAGCCACGTCAGCGCGGCGAAAATCGCCGTCCCCACGCTGCACTCGAGCGTGTGGAACGGCCGCATCTGGCGGCCGCGGCAGGCCGCGCGACCCTTTGGGTCGCCGTCAGCACTAGAGGGGGGACCTGGCCCAGCCACTTCCCAGCCTTCCTCAGACTGCCTGGCCCGGGCTCGGACCGGGCAGGCGAGCTGGGGCCCCGCCCGCCCACCCCAAAAAAGAGCGATGGCTGCGCACGGAGCCTTGAGCCAAAAAGGCAGCGGAAGAGGGCAGGCAACGGGGAGGAGGCTACAACTGACGAGAAAACCCTCTACTCCCACGAACGTCCAAATCCCTCCGCCCCTCCCCCCCTCCCTCCCTTTGTTATACCTCCTGGGCGGCGGGAGGAGAGATAGAGAGGCACCTAGCCTGGCAGACGCCGGACGCTTCGGGAACCCAGGCCGCCTGTAGGGGAGGAGCCCCCCGGGCCCTTCTCGAAACCGCGGTTGCGCGCCATCAGCCGCTCGCGCGTGATGTCGGCCATGGCGTGCTGCAGATAGTTCCGCTCCTGGGGCGCCGCTCCCCCTGCCTCCAGAAGCGCAGTATGTGAGGAGGCAGAGGAGGAGGAAGAGGAGGAGGAGGAGGAGGAGGAGGAGGAATAGGAGGAGGAGGAGGAGGAGGAGGAGAAGGAGGAGGAGGAGAAGAAGGAGTGAGACTAGGAGTAGGAGTCAAGTCGAGCTAGCCAGCTCGAGCGAGTCAAGCATGGCATGCCCATTTCCACCGGCCCTCTCACAACATCAGAAACAGTGCTGGCGCAACTGGGGACCGAAATCTGATCGGCAAGGTGGTTTGCCACAGCTGATGCAGCCGCGAAGGCGGTCACCGATAAGACATCCCTGGCGCGTCTCAAAAACTGCGCTGGCATTTCAGCACGAGCCGAGGATGCCCCAGAAAGCCTCAGGAGGCCTCAGGAGAAACCCCCAGGAAACCTCAGGAGGCGTCAGGAGGGCCCAGGAAGCCCCAGGTAATTCCAGGAGGCCGGAAGCCCTAGGAAGCCCCAGGATGCCTCAGGAGGCCCCAGGAAGATCCACGAGGCCCTGGGGAAACCCCGGGAGGCCCCAGGATGTCCCATCAGCAGGAGACCCTGGGAGGCCCCAGGGGGCCCCAAGCGCCCGACGAATTGGCGAGCGAAAAATGTGCGCCGCGCCCCAGCTAGAGCGCAACTTTCAGAAAACATGCGCGCGTCGCCGACGAAGCGAAAGCGACATTTCGCCCTGTCGCGCGCGATGTGCCCCGCGCCCCCTTCCTGCCACGCACTTTGCATGAGAAAAAACACGTCGACTTTGTATGGTTTTTGATAGGTCGGATGGCCCCTCCCGCTTGGGGTTGCTCCAGACGTCCGCGCGCGATGTGCGCCGCGTCCCGTTCCTGCCACGCATTTCGCATCGTTGACGACAGGACAGGCCATGCTAAGAAACATCGAACACTTTGTATTGATTTTCTACAGTTCGGATGGGAGGGCCCGGATTGACGGCCGCGCGCGATGTGCGGCGTAGCATGTCGCATCATCGACGACACGAAAGCCCGCGTTGATTGAACCAACGACGAATTTGTATGGATAGTTTACAATTAGGATGGGAAGGCCCGGATGGAACCGCTATCGGCTGGCCACAGGGGGGAGTAAGAGTATATTCCAATAGAGAATAAGGATAGGAATCAAGTAAACCAGCTCGAACGAGTCAAGCATGGCGTGCCCATTCCCACCCGCCCTCCCACAACAACATAAGAAACAATGCCGACGCAGTTGGGGGCCGAAATCAGATCGGCAAGGTGGTTTGGCACAGCTGATGCAGCCGCGATGGCGGTTATCGATGGGACATTCCTGGTGCGTCTCACAGGCTGCGCTGGCATTGTAGCACGAGCCGAGGAGGCCCCAGGAGGCCCCAGGAAGGCTCAGGAGGCCCCAGGAGGCCTCAGGCGGCCCCAGGAGGTTGCAGGAAGCCCCAGCGAACCCCAGGAGGCCCTAGGAGGCCCCATGAGGTTTCAGGAAACCCTAGGAGGTGTCAGGAAGCCACGGGGAATCCTAGGAAGCCCCAGGAAGCCTGAGGAAACCCCAGCAGGATCCACGAGGCCCTGGGGAGGCCCCGTGAAACCCGACGAATTGGCGAGCTGGAAGCCCCAGGAAGCCTCAGGAGGCCCCAGGAGAATCCACGAGGCCCTGGGCTGGCCCCAGGAAGCACGATCATGCCCCGGGATGTTCCAGGAGGCCCTGGGAGGCCCCGGGCGCCCGACGAATTGGCGAACGAAACATGCGCGCTGCGCCTGTGCGGGAGCGCAACTTTCAGAAAACATGCGCGCGGCGCCAAAGCGAGAGCGAAATGTCGTCTTGTGACGACTTTGCGAGCTGGAGGCCCCAGGAAGCCGCAGGAGACCTCAGGAGAATCCACGAGGCCTTGGGAGGCCCCGGGCGCCCAACGAATTGGTGAGCGAAACGTGTGCGCTGCGCCTGTGTGGGGGCGCAACTTTCAAAAAGCATGCGCGCGGCGCCAAGGCGACAGTGACATTTCGTCCTGCCGCGCGAGACAGCGCCGCGCCCCATTCTTGGCACGCACTTCGCAACGCCGACGACAAGAAAATCTACGGCGAGAAGAGACAGGTCGACTTTGTATTGTTTTTTGGCTGGTAAGACGCCCATCCCGCTTGGGGGTGACCCAAACGTCCGCGCGCGATGTGCGCCGCGTCCCGTTCCTGCCACGCATTTCGCATCGTCGACGACAAGGCAGGCCATGCTGATAGACAAAACAACGACTTTGTATTGATTCTTTACACTTAGGATGGGGGCGCCCGGATTGGCGGCCGCGCGCGATGTGCGCCGCGTCCCCTTCCTGCTACGCATGTCGCATCGTCGACGACAAGAAAGGCCGCGTTGACAGAAACAACGACGACTTTGTATGGATAGTCTACAATTAGGATGGGAAGGCCTGGATGGACGGCCGCGCGCGATGTGCGCCGCGCCCCCTTCCTGCTACGCATTTCGCATCATCGATGACAAGAAAAGCCACGTTGAGAGAAAAACGCAAACTTTGCTTGATTTTTGTCAGTTAGAATGGGAGGGCCCCGATGGAGCCCCTATCGGCCGGCCCGAGGGGGAAGTAAGAGTATATTCTCATTCGGATAAGGATTAAGAAGGAGTAAGAGTAGGAGTAGGAGTAGGAGTCAAGCTAGCCAGCTCGAGCGAATCAAGCATGGCATGCCCAGTCCCACCCGCCCTCCCACAACATAAGAACCAAAGCTGGCACAACTGGGGGCCGAAGTCACACCGGCCAGCCGGTTTGGTACAGCTGATGCGGCCGCGATGGCGGTTGCCGACGGGAACTGGCGAGCGCGTGTTGAATGCCGCGCACGCATTGCCAGACGAGTCGAGAATGGCCCGGTACACCGCAGGAAGCCAGAGGTGGCCGGAGGAAGCCCGACGGTCTGACAGGACACCCCAAAGCATTTTTGTGAAAAAGCATTGGGTTTTTGATGTTTTTATGTTGAAATGCTTGCAAACACACGGTGTTCGGTAGGATTCTGACATGAACGCGCGAGTGTGCTCTTTGTTGTATTTTTTGCACAGATTCGCGGCCTGGGTGCATGACAGAGCATCGCGAGTGCACCGCGCGATGACGTGAAATCGCTGGATTTGACAGAATTCTTAAGATTCCTATGGTTTTCCTATGATTTCAGCAAGAGAGCCCGGGCAGGAAATTTGTAGATTTTTTGTGAAAAAGCATTGGGTTTTTGATGTTTTTATGTTGAAATGCTTGCAAACACACGGTGTTCGGTAGGATTCTGACATGAACGCGCGCGTGTGCTCTTTGTGGTATTTTTTGCAATGGATTATCGCCGTGGACGACAGGACGTCCATGTCGAGAGGAAAAAATAAGAAACATGTTGATTTTGTATTGTTTTTTACAGGTTAGGATGGGACCACCCGGATGCGGCCCCTATGGCCGGCCTGAGGGGGGAGTAGGAGTATATTCTAATAAGGAATAAGGATAAGAGGAGGAGGAGGAGGAGGAGGAGGAGGAGGAGGAGGAGGAGGAGGAGGAGGAGGAGGAGGAGGAGGAGGAGGAAATGGAGGACATGGAAGAGGAAGAGGAGAAGGACGAGGGTAAGGGTAAGGGTAAGGGTGCATGCGCCGAACCGCGGCCGACAGGCCGACGGACGACCCGAAAGGAGGAGGAGGAGGAGGAAGCCGGTCCCCCGCATGGGGCCGCCGGTCGCCGGGCGCCGGACGCTGGTCGCCGGCCACCCGGTCGCCGGTCGCCGGCAGCCGGACAACAATTGGGCATCTCGGGTACCTCCCTGGGTACCTCGGGTGCCTCCTTGGGTACATCGGGTACCACTCCCAATAAGCATGTGCATGACAACTATTGAGCACCTTGGGTATTTTGTCCCTCGGGTACCCCTCCCAATAAGCATGTGCATGACAACACTTGGGCACCTCGGGTACCTCCCTGGGTACCTCGGGCGCCTCCTTGGGTACCTCGGGTACCACTCCCAATAAACATGCGCATGACAACTAAGCATGTGCATGACAGCCATTGGGCACCTCGGGTACCTCCCTGGGTACCTCGGGTGCCTCCTTGGGTCCCTCGGGTACCCCTCCCAATAAGCATGTGCATGACAACAAGTGGGCACCTCGGGTACCTCCCTGGGTACCTCGGGTGCCTCCTTGGGTACCTCGGGTACCACTCCCAATAAGCATGTGCATGACAACTATTGAGCACCTTGGGTATTGGGTCCCTCGGGTACCCCTCCCAATAAGCATGTGCATGACAACACTTGGGCACCTCGGGTACCTCCCTGGGTACCTCGGGTGCCTCCTTGGGTACCTCGGGTACCACTCCCAATAAGCATGTGCATGACAACTATTGAGCACCTTGGGTATTGGGTCCCTCGGGTACCCCTCCCAATAAGCATGTGCATGACAACACTTGGGCACCTCGGGTACCTCCCTGGGTACCTCGGGTGCCTCCTTGGGTACCTCGGGTACCACTCCCAATAAGCATGTGCATGACAACTAAGCATGTGCATGACAGCCATTGGGCACCTCGGGTACCTCCCTGGGTACCTCGGGTGCCTCCTTGGGTCCCTCGGGTACCCCTCCCAATAAGCATGTGCATGACAACAATTGGGCACCTCGGGTACCTCCCTGGGTACCTCGGGTGCCTCCTTGGGTACCTCGGGTACCACTCCCAATAAGCATGTGCATGACAACTATTGAGCACCTTGGGTATTGGGTCCCTCGGGTACCCCTCCCAATAAGCATGTGCATGACAACACTTGGGCACCTCGGGTACCTCCCTGGGTACCTCGGGTGCCTCCTTGGGTACCTCGGGTACCACTCCCAATAAGCATGTGCATGACAACTATTGAGCACCTTGGGTATTGGGTCCCTCGGGTACCCCTCCCAATAAGCATGTGCATGACAACACCTTGGGTACACCTCGGGTACCTCCCTAAGCATGCGCATGACCTATTGAGCGGGTGTCCTCGGGTACCCCTCCCAATAAGCATGGG